CAGCCACCCGAGCAATACTGTCCACTCGGAGCACCGGCAATACTTACACTGTCCATGGTGAATTGCCAATAGCCCTGTTGAGTCACCGGGACGTACGTCAAGTTGCCGGTGTAGTGGTCGGGGTCTGAGCCGCCAAACATCACTTCACCACCGATGGGTTGGTTGGGGTCGCGGTTCAGGTAGAAGGAGAATACCGGCGCCGACACCACTCCCTGTGCTATCATATTGTTGAACACTGGGGTCACGGCGTCTACCGATATCTGCGGGTAACCCATGCCTAGTATGCCGTCAAACTCGGCGTAAGTAAACACATCACCACTTTCGCTGGTTGTCTCGGCAAACGTCTGACCGGTGACCCGACCCCCGCCTATTGTCATGGTATCTGTGCTTAGATATCCGGCTGCACTGCCGGTGCCGTATTGTATAGAAAAATGTTGGCCGTTTGGCTGGTAAGTAGACGATCTAGCTGAGTTGTATCTCTTGTGAAACCTACATGCTGCGGATCGGCAAGTACTGGATGGCACCCATAGGTCAGAGCTGCCCGTATCAAACAATACCTAAATTGAGAAGTTAATTATTAAAAATTACCTTGTACATTATTTAATTATGTTACTTTGAATGTCTGGGGTGGAGTGCCCAACGTTATCAATCCGTAGTATTCCGAGTCCATATAGTTGGACAGCCGGACCGGTATGTCTTGTCCCGTTTGGTTCCCGTTATATTTTGCGACATTAATGCCATTTTCAGCAAAATAACTTCGAGCTGATTTGATTTTTACTAAATTCACTCGAGTTAGTTCACTACTAGTTTGTGATAATAGGCACAATATTAAAGGTAAAATAACTAATTTAATCATTGTTGTAATTTATAAATTAATTAAATATCTAATAACTATAATAATTTTTTTGAGATAGAAGTGTTTAAATGAGATCATCCATAGCTAAGACACTTATATTTATAATGTTTTGTACATAGAAAAAATAAATAGATAAACATTATTACAAACAAGCTATTTAATATACAGTACATGCAATAATGATGATTAATACGTACAGTGTAGGCCCCCTATTTGTGAAATGAACTTTACATTAAAACTCTATGGACACTATAAATTTTCACAAATAGGGGGCCTACACTGTACGTATTAATCATCATTATTGCATGTACTGTATATTAAATAGCTTGTTTGTAATAATGTTTATCTATTT